TTTTTTTTTCATGTAGGTGACGGGTGGAACAAATTTTTGCCACTCAGCCAGTAGCATACTGCTTTTCGCCGCTAGTCCTGTATGATCTCGAGTGAAATATTGCGAAATGAAACTATAAATGGCGCAATTAAAAAACTGCAGGGCACCTACTCACAGAACTTTTGTTCGTGAGCCCTTTGAATTACACTAACTCACAAATGCAGAGCTTCCAAACATAAACAAAATAAGGCCTCGATTGAGGGCGGACGTACTTAGTAGCCCACGGGACATGAAAGATCATCAAAAGTTAGATCCCTGAAATGCAAGAAAGATTTCCACGCAAATAAACTTTTTTGAAGTCTTAATAGGTGGACCCAAAAATCCAAAGTCTCATCCAAAGGCAAAGAAAAAAATCTCGTCAACAAAAAAATAACTTATTTCCCAATCGGGATCCTAAAAATACCCGGGGATGGCGCTTTAAACAAAGCTGTGCATTTTTATAATGGCAGAGAAAATTGTTTTCACTTTCACCCAGCTTCTTAATAATTCAGTTATCCGCCTTCAAACACAGAATTCTTTACAGGCATGTCTTCCAACACTAAGAAAACCTCTCCAACTGTACAACCACATAAACGAGTAAGGACAACTGCAGTGGCTACACAAAAACAATGAAAACTCTTGGACCTCAACTGCAGTTCTCGATAAACGTCCAACAAATTTTATATCATTTTGGAAGTTTCAGCAAGACCTCTATAACAGTTTATCAGTGTGATGCACTAAACGAGCAAGCAGGTAAAGCAGGAAGGTCCCAGCTCCCACACCGCCAATCAGCAAAACAAGTGTTGCAAAAACCATAACTAGATGAGGAATTCATATTTGATATCTCGAAACCAAAAAGAACCGAAACCAGAAAACTATAAATTCAAAGCACACGGAAGCCCTCTGAAAAGTAGCAAAACTATGGAACCGCTCCTCACAGAACTGTCATTGCTATCGCGATCACGGCATATCAAAAATGCTGTCTCCAGCTATCCTTAACAATAACTCTAAACTACTTGTCACACATAATTCAAATTATTTCCACTTGTGCAACAAGTACGAAAAGACCTTTATAAGCTGAAAAAAGGCATAGTACAATTAAAAAACCTATTTCCATTATTGTGAAAGAACGAATGCTTAAAGGACCGGATCTTGCTCAAATTGGAATCATTACTTCCAAAACGTCCAAGAAGTGTTCCACTATGCCAGTATAATCTGCAAATAAACTGACATAATTGATTTCTTCAAATGCAAAAGTACTGCTCCTTGCAAAAACTGCTCTCTTAATGGCAAAAAACGAGAAACGAAGAAAGAAGTAATAAAAAATTTGGATACTTATAGTTTGATAAGAATAAGTAAGACTGCATCTTCCTAAATACCTTCATCATCAGGTATTGCACAGTTTATTTCGCTGCAAATGCTTACAAAGCCTCGAACAAAATGTCAAAATTTAGCACATGCAGAGAAAAAAGAAAACAAAAAGACCTTAAACCGCATTAAAAAAACTATATGAAGTAATGAAGAGTACTCCGACACAGAATAAGAGCTTCGCAAAGGGTTCCAAAATAAATAGGAAAATACACTGACAAAAGGATATTTATTTACTTGATCACTTCTTCAAACTGTCATCACCAACAATCACAAAGAAGCAAATAGCCACGTCGAAAGCAGGAGCAGGCAGACAGGTAAAACACTATGCAGTGAAGCGGACAATTCTGCGCTATACAACCTTACACCTCACCAGCACAACCGTTAAGATTAAAACAGAAAGAATACTTTGCACGGTTTTTGAACAGAATTTAGACGAGCATTCTAAAACAAATCTTTCCAACTATTTTTACGGTTCTTTTTTAAGCCGTGCTTAATACACTAAAAATATGGCATTTTGAGAAGGCTACTACTATGAAAGAAAATCCTACCACGGAATTTACACAGTGCCCACACACCTCTTCTTTCGTGTGCTAGATTAAACAGCGTGTTAAAACGTGATAAAAATCATTTCCTCCGTCCAAGAAAGCAACCATACGTAATTAGCTGAAAATTAAAATCAATGTGGGACAGATCTTTAAAACAAAACAAATAAAAGGTGTAATGGCTTAGTCTTACTTATTGTAAATTCCGGAATGACCTCCTGTGTCCGGAACAGCGTCGCCATCTTCATCAGTTAAAAGACTCTTCATCAAATTATACACCCTGTAAGCAATGATATAACACTTTGTCTATACAAACAACGGACACTACAATTATGTGATAAACTGCTACAAAACTGTGGTACTATATAGACTGAATGTAAAAACTCTTATCCACTACTCTCACAGCAAAAAATTGTACATTTCAGAAATAATCTAATCTGTCGCTCATCTCCTCCCAAATTCCCTTATAACTCTAAAAATTCATTCATTTACCATAAAATGCAATGATGAGATAAAGTAGGTTGATTTTTGTCGCCACCTAGCTTAAATGGTCATAAGGGAAAGCCTTCTTTTCCCAGAAAATTTCTAAAACCTATTTTCATTTTAATCCTCCTCCGTTTCACAGCAAGAAGACCGGTCTCCAAATACCTAGTATGAAGCTAGCCCATTTATAAGTTCAGACCCGGCAATCTTTGACAGTTACCTTCACTAGCTGGTTACCGTCAACCTTCGCCTTTCATTTGCTTTTAATGTGATTAAAAGGAAAAGAGGAACCTAGGTGACAACCTTGGTAACTTTTTTGATATAAGAAACTGCATTCCTCTGAGTTCCCAAAGTCGTTTCAGTGCTTCTTTTGGTCCAGAAGCAAAAAAGTCTTCATCGTCGCTTTGTCCGGAGGCTTCAGCAACTAAATTCAAAAGTAATAACAGATTATGACACAGCAACTGCGATAACATTTTGGTGCTCCCTAACCTGTCAAAAAAGAACAAATAAAGAGCAACTTTTCAAAATTTTCACCCGTAAATACTTGTTTAACAGGCCCCAAATTCGCCAACAATTGTCACTCCCTCTCTAGGTCCTCAATTAATACGAAGTACCAATGGAGAAACCATAAAATAAACTTACGTTGTTTCATAGTCGTAATTTTTGCTTTAGGGCATTGTGCACCGAAAACGAAGTTTAGCAACGGGTCAG